TACAATATTGTATAGAGCACATGATATCTAAAAAGATTTTCTTAATATAAATATTGTTTAAATGCCAATCTTTAAATGGGGATCAATGCATTTAGCAATATTGTAATAACTAATAAAATCTATGTAGTACAGTTTAGTTTACAAATACAGCATGTGCCAAAATAAACAGTAGGTACCGAATTTTAGAGTTTTGTTATACTGGAAATGTAAACAATATTGAAAAACCAGGTAGAAATATTAAATTTATTGATGAAAAAAAGTTAGATGTACTTCGAGAGATTGAGGAAAATCCGCATAAGACAACTCGAGAACTTGCCGCCGTCACTGACGTAAGTAAGTAAATCATCTATTTTGAGAGTTTTACATAAAGAAAAATATCACCCTTACAAAGTTTAGTTGGTTCAGGAGTTAAATTAAGATGATTCTGATAGAAGGCAAGAATTCTATGAAATGATGGTGAACAGAATGAACGCAGATTTGCAGTTTATAAACAAAATAGTTTTTTCTGATAAATCGACGTTTCATTTAAACGGAACGGTTAACAAACAGAATTGTAGATATTGGAGCAGAGAAAATTGGGTATGTGAGACTCACACGCAATATCCTAAAAAAATTAAGAATTGGGCTGGTATCATTAACAATAAAATAATTGGTCCTTATTTTTTTGAGTGCAGAGTTGATCGTGAGGTTTACCTAGAGTTTTTGATTAACTTTTTAGTGCCTACTTTACGAAGATTTTTTTCTAATGTTAATCATCCAAATAAGATAGATCGACCTATTTACTACCAACAAGATGGAGCTCCACCGCATTTTGCACTTATAATTAGAAATTATTTAAACGAGGTTTTTCCCAACAGGTGGATTGGAAAACGTGGGACGATCGAAGGACGGCTAGATCCCCCGATTTGACTCCTCGATTACTTCTCATGGGGTTATTTAAAATCTAAAGTATATTTTAATAGACCAAACAGTATTGCTGATTGAAAAGTTAGAATAACGGAAGACATTAACAAAATAACTCCCGGAGTCGTACAAAATGTACGAGAATTCCAAAATCGCCTCGGGTATTGTCAAGAAGTGAACAGTGGTCATTTTGAACATTTAATTTAATTATAAAGTACATTGAAAAATACATTTTAAATATTATGTGATAGTATTATGTTCATTCAACCTAAAGTTTTATGATTGAGACATTAACAAAATTTTACATTTTAAAAATCAATTTTCTCAGTTATGATTGCACCACACTTAAAAAACTTTTTATTGCTGAACAGAGGACTAAAATCCCTTTCTAACAAGATGCCATACGACCCTTATTTGTGATTTAAAATTTTCGAGGGGGTTCTTATAATTCAAAGGGGATGCTAGAGGGGTATAATATTTTCATACTGTAAATTGTCAATTTAAGAATAAAAATCGACATGTTTTAAGTTTTTTTATATAGTACTTAATAACGCTAAAAATGAATTTAATCCATATATATGGACCGCATGGTATAAGTCAAAAGTTCCGCTAACAAATATTAAAAAACTACGTTAAAAATAATAATCTGATTTCAACTGCAGCAATAATTTTTTATAAACATGTTGGCTAATCTGCAAAATCGATATGAAGCTTCTGCGCCTCAATGGCATAACTAAATACACTACTTTCATCCAATAAAACTCTCCTAAGCACCAATTTCAAAATATAAGTACAAAAGAACACACTTCAAAATTGTGTTTGTCAAAGCAGATAGATTTTGCTGATTCTTCACAATATAATCATCGTATGTGTCACTGATATGCAAAAGTAAGAATTACAACTATTAGAACTAAATAAATGAATGTCATTTTAATTAGTTTGACACTCACCGTGTAAATTAGAATAAAGATGGCAATTCTGTGAAGGCCATGGACGTATAAATAAAGATGGACTAGACATGATCTGCACTCTGTTCACCTAAATTTGAAGTCGAAAAGTGTGTAGGCGCGGGGAAAGAGACGAGGTGATAGACTGTGACATTTCCTTTTAAGTCAGCGGCGTACCTTCCAATATTTGAAAGTTATTTGAAACAGTTTTTTCACTTGAATAAATAATGACTATTGGTTTGATTGATTTTATGTTTAGTATCGTAAACATATGAAATATTTTGAATAAGTGAGAAACAACAAACGGTGAATAATTTTAATTTTCAGTGTATAGAAATATATTTATGAAAATTAATTTACACAAAAGAATAAAGATGGAGTAAATAAAATCGTAAAGTACTTTATATAATATTTTATTTAAACTAAAATAGCACACAAACAATAAAAAGTTTAAAAAATTCTTCCCCAAACATTAACCTGTTAAGGGTATTGAGTATGTTCTTCTCTTATCCAGTTAGTGATAAGTTGAAAAAATATAGTAAATTATGGTATCTAACTCCAGCTTAATTGTTAATTAAGTCAATTAGTTAATTATGCAACATTAGTATGTCACCTTAAACATAGCAGTAAACAGAAGAAAGATAAAAATTCAGGAATATGTATTTAAGAAAATATTAATAAACGTAATAAAACCATAAACCATTGTTTAACAAAACATAAACAACAAACCACATATACAACAATATATAAAACACATTAAACCTTATGGAACGGGTAGGGTTCAAAAATAGAAATAGCTTTATTCTCACTTAAAATTATACAATTTCATGCACAACGCTTACAAAAATTAAAAAAAAAAACAATAACAATTAAAATTTAGTAAAATTACAAAAATCGTCAATATCACAAAATAAAACTGTTGCATAATAAAACCTTACGAAGTAGTTTGAGAATAATACTGTACCGAAAATTTGGCAATACTGTCAAAACTTTGAAAACACTATACTCTGTTTTTTAACCAGGAGGAGTAAACCAAAAAGACAGATTCACCTTCAAGAAAGTTACTAGAAAAGTCACCAAATACATCTTCTTTTTTTGTTGATTATCTCGGCCTTGCGATAATCGAGTAATCAATATTGGACAATCTCACACGTCAATTTTAACCTAACTTTGTTTATTTAAGTCTATGTCTATGGTATTTAATCTCTTAAGTCTATGGTATTTAATTATAATTTAGAGAGTATTTTGATCGGGAGAGTTAATAATGTTACACATATGGTTTTTCTCAGAAATTTGTCTTTTAATAATAGACCATATTCTTATTCTGGTATTATCAATTTCTTGAATCTAGTTTTTTTCTTACCAGATACTTTGTATAAGTGTGTATACCCGGTTCGCTATTCCCAGTCCGAACTGTCTAGTGATTTTAGTAATTATTTTTTTGCGAAGTTAGTTACTTTTTGACAGACTCGAAGTGGCTGGAAATTACTATACAACCAAGCATACGTGCTCTTAGTCAATATTAATGTAAACAAAAGTAAATAAAATAGAACTTTGCCGACAATCAATATTTATTTATTTACACCGTATTGTGTATTGATAACAAATAATAAAATTATTTATTGTACAAAATAAAAAAAGTGGGAGTAAATTCTACAAAATTAAAAAGTCAAAGTGAGGTTAAATAAGACACAGCAAGTTCCTTATGTTGTGACTAGGATGGAATCAATGATTAAAGATTAACAGTTCATTGGATAGCATTAACATAAACTGTTGTTTTATTATCTTACAAAATAAGTGTACTTCCATATGCTAAAAGCAAATATTAGTAATTTGACTAGGCAAATTCGTGGTTCAATAGTAATTTTTGCTCATTAGCATTTGAGGATGTTAAAATCTTCCACATATGGTTAATGAATTCACTGTCTTGGCCGCAGTCTGCAGTCATATAAACCCAAACAAACAACAAGAACCTCCATTCTTCATGTAGGTATAAACAAGTTTATATTAAATTAGAAACAACTAATCTAAAAATATTAACTTTTAAAAAACATTTTATCATGTTTATTAAGAAAAACTTACCAACACATTAGCTGATGGAACAAATGGAAAACTTTGACTATCCATAATAATAAAATTTAAAATATAACTAATTAATTAACTGAGTAGAACTAACAAAAGAATTAAACAAATTAAATAAAACAATATTAAATTAAATAAACAACGCGAATAATACAAATATTTACTACAATATTTTAAATTGTAACAATTCAAATATTATATTTTAAATATACAGGGAAAATTTGATGGGTTTAGTATACACTTCCACTATTTAGAATAATTCTTCTTTTTTTTCAAAGAAAGAAGTCTGCAATAGTAGTACACTTGAGCTATTAATACTGAGAAGTAGGAATTGTTGTGTTGTAGGTTTCCGACAATGAGTCTGTCAAAATATGCCCTAGCTAAGCGAATAGACAATACTTACAATTTCTTTAATGCTGGATTCTTGTTTAATTTTGACAGTGAGTTTGTCCCATTTGTTATCAACAAATAAAGTTTACTAAAAATACTGGATTTCTGTGAGATAATCATTAAATCCAAACTATTATGTTACATTCTTGCATAATTTTGCAGTTTTGTTGTGATGATCTACAACCAGGAAGAACAAAACTAAATGTATCATACAATCAAACTAAAACACATTACTTTACTAATGTTCTTTTATTGTGATGAAAACAAAATGGAAATGCTTCTTAACAAGTATACACTAAATTTAAAAAATAGTTGCCGTTTTTCTTATGATAATTAGATATAAATAACATACATTTATAAATTTATAAACACTTTAAACTATATTTAGTATAAATATCATCTAGAAAAATATCACATTAAATACTATTCGCATATCACCATAATAATAATAAATAAATCACGGGTGGGCGACTCTTATGAGAGTGACATTTCTTTGCTTTTTACTACGACCCAGGATACGAGGTGGCGCACGCAGACAAGTGTTGTTTATTTAGACAACTTATGATACACAATATTAATAAGTTGGTTGCCAATCAAGAAATATACAAATCCAAATACACGCAACCCAAACAACACGCCTGACACGGGACACCCGACACCCATTTTATTAGGTTATTTATGTGGTATACATGTGGTATATTAATTATGTTATGATTGAGATCGCTAGTAGTTTATGTGTTACCAGGTGTTACTACTCATTTTACAAGTTGGTGATATATAATAAAGTGAATATAAACAATAAAACTAGAAATAATGGTTTCAAAGTGCTGCGTTTTAGGTTGTAGAAACACTAGCCAAAAGGCCCAGCTGCATACGTTTCCAAAAGACGAGAAGGTAAGTTAAATTTTTATTATTTATTATTTTTCTACCAATAAAGACCAATATATAGTTTTAGTTCTCAGAGTGTAGGACTTCTAAAAATATATCTTATTCAAGGGGTATTATTGTAAAGTGAATGGTACCTTTTTATGACTTTACTGTATGCATGTATATGCACTGTCTATATTTTTGTTCTTTTTTTTTTCTAGATTTGGTCAATGTGGATAAAGAATATTGGTCGAGAAGATTTGAAAAACAAAACCATAGATCATTTAAGAAGATCTTATCGCATATGTAACATACATTTTGATGATAATCAAAAATATATTGGAAGTCGATACAAATCTACCATTAAGCAAGATGCAGTGCCTACTTTGTTTCTTCCAATTATTAAAAATGGTAAGTACTAAGAAAATTTAATTAATTAGTCAGTATAAATTATTTTTTGTTTAGTTAAAGAATCTGAAGTTATGCCAGCTGTAGAATCTGAAGTTATGCCAGCTGTAGAAGTACCCAGTACATCAAAATTTAATGAAAGTGGAATTCCCCAATCTCCTGTTCGTGATGTTACTGCACCTAAAACATTTTCAACTCCAGCTAAGCAAAAAGGTAATTTTTATAAAAGAATCTTATGTACTACTGTTATTTTATTCCTTTCTTTTCCTTACAGTGGGATTATTGATGTTCTCTTCCCATTAATAACTAAAATTCAGGGTTTTCTTTAAGCTTGTTTTGTCCCTGATATGTTGAAAGAATGTATATAATAATCAATTTTCTTTTTTTATAGGTTTAAGAAGTAAATTAAGACTTTTGGCCTACAGTGGAACAGAATCAGTTGCTAAACTAACACCTAAGGCGAAAAAATTTTACAGAATTGCAAAAGATCTTCGTAAAACTGCTAAACGACTGGATTTTAAATGTTTGAATTTGAAAAAGGAATTAAGAAGAGTTGAAAAAGTTATGGAATCAGGTGATTTTTTGGCCCAAAGCATCAATAAAGCTACTTATGATTTTATAAAATGCCAATTAAGGTGCCAAAAATTTCAACCGAAGGGTAGGCGTTATAGCCTTGATGAAAAAATTTTATTTTTGTCATTTTTAAAACAGAGTCCTAAAGGATACAAACTATTTCGTAAAATATTTGCTGCTCCTTCAAGGAAAACTTTGACTAACCTTTTACAAAATATTCCCTTTGCAACTGGAATCAATGAAACCATTATGGCTAGCTTGAAAAATAGTACAAAGGGAATGTCTGTAAAAGAGAAGTATTGTAGCATCCTTTTTGATGAAATATCTATTGATCCTGGATTGCAATACAACAAAAAAGAAGGTGCTATTTACGGATTTGAAGATTATGGGGATTATGAATATAATAGGCCAATTATTGCTGATAAAGCCTTGGTATTCATGGCCAGAGGAATTTTTAAAAAGTGGAAGCAACCAATTGCTTATTATATTAGTGAAAGTGGCATGAAAGGTCACCTATTATGTTTAAAAATAAAAGAAGTCATCAGGGCATGCAGAAATAGTGATCTTTTGCCAATTACAATTATTTGCGACCAATATAGTGCCAATAAAAAGGCTATTAAATTATTATATGAAGAAAACTGCAAGCAACCACATCAATTCGGTTTTTTAATAGATGGTGTAGAAGTTATTCCCTTATATGACCCTCCCCACCTGTTAAAAGGTATTAGAAACAATTTTTTTAATAAAAGTGTAAAATTTAAGTGGAGAAAAAATATTGAAGTGGCGACTTGGGCACACATTAATCAATTATATGATTTAGAAGATAAAGATTATGACTATAAATTATGTCCAAAACTAACAGAAAGTCATGTTAAAAATCTTAAAAAAATGAAAGTGTCCATAGCAGCACAGACATTAAGCAATACTGTAGCCGCAGCTATGAAAAAGTTGGCCTCTTCTCAACTAAATTGTCTTCCAGCCGAAGCAGAAAGTACAGCTGAATTTATTTTATTTATGGACAAGGTCTTTGATAGTGTGAATGGTGCTGGCACCTTTAATAAAAATGGAAAAAGATTAAGAATGGCTGTAACAAAAAAAAGCGAACATTATACTTTTTGGACTGAGGCCATTCAAGTTTTTGAATCAATAAAATTTGAAGAAAGGGGGAAACAGACAGTACCACCAAGTGTACTAAATTGGATTCACACTCTAAGAGGTATGAGATACCTTTGGGAATTATTTCAGAAAAAAAATATAAAATATTTTTGTCCCAATTTTTTAAATCAAGATCCCCTTGAAAACTTTTTTGGGCGCATTAGGAGTCATGGAGCAAGGTATATAAACCCAAATGCAACAGCATTTATTCATTCATTTAAATCTTTAATTATTATGGATTTCACATCTGTGCACTCACCTGGATTTAATTGTAAAGATGACAATTTAAATGCTTTGGATTCATTAAAACATTTCATAAATTGTGAACCAATTTCAAAAAATGAACCAATTAAGATCCCTGATATACAATTTAGTGAATTTACACCAAATAACCAAATAGATATTTTACAAAAAGGATGTCTTAGATATATAGCAGGGTTTGTGGCAAAAAAAATTTTACGTAAATTTAAAAGTTGTGGATGTTGTATGACAGATTTATTGGGCGATGGTAGTAATGCTGAAGATTTTTTTATCAACGCAAAATCTTATAGTATAAAAAGTTTAATGGCCCCAAACAGTAAATATGGTGAACTTTTTGAAAAGATTATATTCATATTACAGCAAATAGTTCCAAAAGTTTGCCACTACAAAAATTTAAAAAAAATACTTTTCGGAATAATGTATAATGAATGCAAATCATTTACTTTTATATGTGAAAAACATCAAATTTTAAAACACATATTAAATTATGTTATTTCATTTCATTTGCTGATTTATGCAAAAAATATCACCAAAATTTTACAGGGAAAATTAAAAGTAAAATCTGGGTGTAATGACCCAATTAAAAATTATGCACAAAAAAAATTTTACAGTCATAAAAAGTATGTTAATACATTAAAAATAATAAATAATTGCCTTCCTTTAAAAATAATATAGAGAGAGAAATATAGGTACTTTATTGATACCATGGAACCAAAAATTGACTGAAGTCTTTCAGCGAATTTACAAGATTAATATATACATTAAATATTTTATGTTAAGACTAAATACAATACAATAGTTAAAAAAAATTGTATATGTGGTGGTAATTACAATATTGCCAGTCAATTAAATTACAGCTAATAGAAGAAGATTAGAAGGGAGTTGTTTATTGATCTGAAGTGACAAGTACGTTTGTGATGTTATTTATAATATTTTTAGAACATAATAATATGCCTGGAGTTTCATATATTTCCTTCCTGTTGGATTATACACCCGTCACAATATGGGTTAATAAAATTTTTAGTTTTGCTTTCCTCACATATAAAACTATCGATATTATTACCTTGTAGATAGTTGTATATTAAGTATTTCTCTGTTTGAAAACTATTGATATTTGAATAAATAAACCTCACGTTATGAGCCACTATCTTGAAATATTGTGAGCCCTTCCTGTGGCATAGTTGGTGAGTGATTGGTTGGTTTTTCCAGATCGAACATGAGTATAAATAGGTAAATTTCCCAGTTTTTCACGATGTAATTTTTTGCAGTATCTGTGTTTTATTTCGATATTTGTGAGATGGTCTTTCATAATATGTGTATCTTCAATATCCAATTCTACTGATGATATGATACAGGCAAAAGTTGTGTCATGTGATTTATTTTGTGTGGATTGATTTTGGTTAGAATTTGTTTCTTTGTATTCTTTGGTTACTTTTGACTGGACTAATGACTTCGGTTATTATCTTAATTACTTTTTAAAATAAACCCATTTCTAGTTTTTATTATCACATTAGAAGAGTTTGGATTGCTTCTATTCCAAAAATTAGCAAACTGAAATCTTGATAATTATTGTTGAGTTGTTATAACAAAATTGTTTATAGTTTTGATTCATGATATTTTTCATTTGTAGTGAATCATGGTGTGTGTTGTTAACTACCTTTTTTTGTGGCTTTGAATGTTGACATCTTTTTGTGAATTTGGTTGGGATTGATTTATTGGGTTTTTAGAAGAATGCTGACCTAATATTATGTCTTGAATTTGTTGTTGAGACAGTTGTCCTTTTCCTTTCTTTCCCAAGTCCTTTTCACTGGATTTAGCAAATGCGATATTCGATGGCGTCGTTTCTTTTCTCTTTTTATTTTATTCCACTGTCCGGTATCTTCCATTTCTTCTTCCATTACGCTGTTCTCGGAAGACATATTTCCTTATTATTTCTACTGTTTTCCCAATTAACTATCACTAATTAACTTTTAAATCGATTTTTAACTTATCGTTAGCGAATTTCAGCGAGTCGATCGATTTACGTCCTTTCTCTATGAACATTCAAGGAGAACGAATATAATATTTTTTTTAATATTCATAAAAATATAATTATAGTATTTTTTACTTTATTTGTTTTAGGATCACCCATTTTATTTTTTTGCTTTTGTAATCATAGGTACTTATTTTGTAGTCTTTTTTTACATTATATATAATAAAATTTTATATCCAATTTTTTTTTTCATTTAATCCTTAATTTTTTACATTTTATCTATAATAAAGTTTTATATACAAATGTTTTTTCATTTAATCCTTAATTTTTTACATTTTATATATAATAAAGTTTTATATACAAATGTTTTTCTTCATTTAATCCTTACATTTTTTAAAAAATACGAATATAAATATATTTTAAATCAACCGCCGTTGTATTTTAATTTTGACCCAGACCACGAGGTGTCGCAGAGGATTTGTGTAGCAGTGGGAGTTTCCCATCTATAGTAGTTATTTATATATCTATGAAATAAATTTCACAAATGTCATTAGTGTCAATATGTCATAATTTAGTGGAGTAAACTTGCCTGCGGTTGGACCAATTGCAAACAAGCATTACGGCGCGGAAAATTTGAATACTCCTCCTGGTCACAGAATAATAAACAAACAGAATGCCCACTCTTCACGGAAAATTAAGTACGCGCATCTCCTTCGCGCAGACGTTCCGCCATGTTTTACGAAGATTTTAAAGGGAACCAGTGTTGTTTATGTGGTGTGCATGGAAAAAAAACCAGGTTTATTTGACTTACGGCAATCATAGACATACTATACAATTATATTAACAGTTTTAAATATAATAACATAAATATAATATAATTAAACATAAATGTAAACAATTGCATAACCTCACAAATCATATGTTTGTGTCCTCCTAAAACATGGCGCGCGTGCTGAAAAACTTCAAAGGCGGCATCTGAGAGTGGCCCTTCTGATTCTTTATTATTCTGTGTCCTGGTTAAAAAACAGACCATAGTTGCTAGATTGCAACAGATGTTCAGCAGATTTTAATTTTATAACTATTTTCTTATAATTTTGTTATGAAATGGTACCTGAATATATACTTAAAAAATTGAAGTTAATTTTAATTATAATAAATTAAATTTAAATTAATTAAACTTCTTTTAAAAATTTAAAAATAATGTTTAGTAACATTAATTAATATTATATCGCATGCTCTTTTGTGATTTATTTGTGATATGGCAACACTGCCAACTACAATCGGTCAATAATTTGTAGCTAACTTCATCGGCACTTTCTCTATACTTCTGCCACAGAATAATAAACAATCAGATGGGCCACTCTCAGATGCCGCCTTTGAAGTTTTTCAGCACGCGCGCCATGTTTTAGGAGGACACAAACATATGATTTGTGAGGTTATGCAATTGTTTACATTTATGTTTAATTATATTATATTTATGTTATTATATTTAAAACTGTTAATATAACTGTATACCCTAATAGCACATGTACGTCCAGTGGACGTCCATAGTACGTCCCTCGCGGACTTTAGGGACGTCCCTCGAACGTCCGCTTTGGTCCTATTTACGTCCGTTTTACGTCCTATATTGGTCCGAATGTCGCTGCGCCAAACGTCCTATGGACGTCCATTTTACGTCCCGAGCGGACGTAAAATGGACGTACCGGGACGTTAATTGGACGTCCATAATACGTCCAGAGTACTTACTTGACGGACTTTTGTGATATTTTCGGACATCTATTTTAGCGCTCAGGATGTAAATTAGACGTCAACGCCATTGCATAAAGTACTAAAAGTGGTGTCATCCTGTGCATATTAAGAATGTATTTTGGGAAATAAAACTTAAATGTTTAAAGAAACTTACATTTATTATTACATTTATTTATATTTATTTATTATTAACAAACGGGACAAATTCACTGTCAAAATTATGCAAAAATGCAACATTATAGAAATATAAAATAATTTTGTGTAATAAAACATAAATGTTTAAGGGAACTAACATTTATTATTACATATATTTATTTATTATTAACAAATGGAACAAATTCACTGTCAAAATTATACAAAAATGCAACATTATAGAAATATAGACAAAATTACAGATAAAATAAAATATACATGAATAAAATAAATAAGTATACATTTTATAATAAGTTTCATTTAGCATTTAAGTGCTTCAAATAGTACCTAAAGCTATTGATATGAAAGTTTTAGACCATCTCTATGTGTGAAACATAATTAGTTCTGTGGTAAGGAACATGGAAATGTAAATTCTGACACAGTGAATGGGAAGGAATATGAAAACAAACTAGCTGAAGCAATTCAGTAGATTGGATATTTTATAAACAAGTTGAAAAATAAAGATTAAAAGGTAACACTTTTGATAAGAGAATCCAGATTCAAGAAATTGATCATATCAGAATAAGAATATGGTCTACACAATTTACAAGAACAGTTGATGCTTGTAGATGAGTCAGTTTAAATCTAATCAACATAAAAATGGTTTTTAATGCAATTATAACATAATCAGTGTAAATTAGTTGAAGTTGAACGACTAGACAGTAAGTAAACCACCCTGACCAGTATGAAGCTGATTCTTCAAATTTACTGTCAAAAAATCAGTCAGTAAAGCCTCGACAATTTTAGGAATAGCAGAAAGAATTATAATGGAACGATAATTAGGAATCAATGAGTTAAGGATAAAATCAATAAATAAATTGTGATGAAAAGTGACCCTCAGTCAGAGATTTATAAAAAATAAGCCATAGATGCCTACATAAAAAGAATGCACAATTCCCTAAAAATAAGTTAAGATATTATGTCTGGACCAAGACCTTTATTGGTATTAAGACACTGTAAGCATGCGTCACAAATTTTAACAGTTAAAAGAGTGAATATGGCTGTTACTGATATGGGATCTTTGACTACACTTGTCTACACAAGAGAAAGAAGGATTGTGAATACTGCTAAAGAAATTGACAAAATTGTTGAAATTGTGGTTCTTAAAAACAGAACCATTCAACTTCCCTTATCCCTTCCCATTCTGATTTCCCTTACAATTGTGTGGTCAGCAATTAAAAGCAGACGAGTCAATTGTTGAGTTTTAAAGTTGAAATCATAAGTATGAAAAAGATCAATACCTAATATGGAACTTTGTCTGTTTCCTTTCAACAGTAGATTAATTTTTAGGTATTTATTTTTAATATATAAAACAGTCTCAAAAATTGGACTGTTCCTTTGTGTCCATGAACTACACAATTTAATCATTACAAAATTAATCATATTTGCTAATGCAACATGCAAGTTAAATTTTATCTGCCCTCTCTTTAAATATTTACTCAGATATTTCATTATCAAGTTTCAACTTCCTTCCCCATGGCAACACTGGTTTTGGAGTTTTTCCAAGCAACATCTGAAAACAAAATTAATGTACATTCATAAATTGAATAAACTAATTTCAGATTTAGTTCATTATACTTTGCTTCTTGTGAATAAATCATAATTCAAAGTAAAATTAAACACACAAATTTCAAGTGCTGTAGTTTTAATGAATCTCACCTGAATTAGAAGAATACCAACCCAACCATTGGTATTTATTTCTAATGACCAAATGAGCAGTAATTACACTTTTATACGTAAAAAATAAAAATAACTGTATAAATAAAATATATGGCCAACAACAAACCTTTATCTCATAAGCTAGCTGTAGTTCTTAAAGCAATCTCATAGCCAGATCTGAACATTTATGAATTGGTAAAATTTGTCATCTAAATTACATTAAGACACAGTTAACAATATGCTTAATCAGCTGTATGTGGCCACTTAAGTGATAGTGTAAATTCTTAAATGCACCTTAAATTGATTTATGTTTATAAGTTACAAACCTTTTAAAATCAGAGCTATATGTGTGTCCTCAAAAACTTTATATTGCTTTTTCCCTAGCCAACTATCTTTTCCTTGAATTTTATTCCAGATCAGCTTCTTATGGCTTCTCCTAACAAATTCATTTATGGTCTCCTCACCAATTTTGGAAAGTTCATTATCCTAAAATATAAATCAACATGTAACAGTAATCTAACTACCCCACAAACTTGATCATCCATGCTTAAATATTTTAGCTTAAACTATCTAATAAAAAAACAGCCTCTGTTACAAAATCAATCAAACATTCATTTGCAAATTTTGGTTTCTCATAACCATGGTTAAATGCCTATTAAATCTACAATTTTAGGATATATAAACAAGATAGAATATGACTGACTACTAAAACTCTTTTTTTAGTGGGATTCCATCAAAATGTACACAAATTTCTATAACATTGTTTTTTTGTGAAGATAAAAATACCATTGAAATTTGAATCATATGGATCAGAGTATTTGTTCTCTGGGTGAAGCGAAGCAAGAAGGGTTCTAGCATTTGAACTCAAATGAGAAAGGTCAGGAACTTCTTTATGAATTTTTAATAAATCACCTACATAAGGGATAGGACAAACCTCGATGCCACATGCACTTTTTAGAGCCACACAAGATCGAGAGGAGTATGCCATAATTGTTGTTAACATCCACTAATTAGATAGGGCACCATAAGAAGAAGAATAAATCTCCTAGTATTAAAGGACAAAGTCCAGTTGAATAACTTATTAGAAAAATTAAAAACATCTCGATAAGGACATTTCTTCAGTTTCATTGAAAGAAGAGCTTTGTAAAGGATCACCGGAATGGTCGTCCACGTGGTAATTTGCATTATTTTAGGTACTTAACATGTTAATAAAAAGTTTAAATCGGAAGTATTGTAACCTGAACTATTTGAACTGAATGATCAGTCAGGGATTCCGAATAAAAGTTTGAAGGAGATGGAATATCGAGGTTATTAATATTTTCAACAATATTCTCTACGTTTTTCGTAACCTTCCTCTGTTGATGACGCTTAGAAACAAATCGTTTTCTTTTAAACATAATTAATAAGTAAAAATTACACTTACCTTTAAAATAAAACCAATTTCTGAAGTATAACCTAACACGTGGTACCAAACCTTTAACAATATACTATAACCACAACACAAAGCCAAGCATCAAAAAACCAATGCACTGTAATACTGCTTAAATAGAATTCTTTTATTTCATTTATTAAAGCATTAAGTAATAAATAATTAAACTGTGCCATTTGTTTAAATAGGTATGATATGACAGACAATG